TTTACCTCCTTTGTCATAAATTAATTGAGCACACTGGCGTGTATTGATTTCTGGGCTCTCTGTTCTCTTCTATTTATCTGTGTGTTTGTTTTTATCCCAGTACCATGCTGTTTTGATTACTATAGCCTTGTAGTATAGTTTGATACCAAGTAGCATGATACCTCCAAAGTTGTTCATCTTTCTCAATATTTCTTTGGCTATTCAGAGTCTTTTGTGGTCCCATATAAATTTTAGGATTATTTGTTCTAGTTTTCTGAATTTGGTTTGGTAATATTTTGTTGAGGATTTTTACATCTACGTTCATCAGAGATATTGGCCTGTAATTTTCTTTTTTGTAAGGTCTTTGCCTGGTTTGATATTGATGGCCTCATAAAATGAGTTGGGAGCCTTCCTTCCTCTTTAGTTTTTTGGAAGAGTTTGAGAAAGATAGGTGTTAATTCTTCTTTGAGTATTTGAAACCATCTGGTCCCTAACTTTTGAGAGGTGTTTTTTTTTTTTTTTTTTTTTTAAATAACTGGTTCAATTTCGTTAGCAGTTACCACTTTGTTTAGATTTTCTGTTTCTTCCTGATTCAGTCTTAGAAGACTGTTTCTAGGAATTTATCCATTTCTTCTATGTTGTACAATTAGTTGGCATATAATTAATTGTTTGTGGTATTTTCTTATAACCTTTGTATTTCTATAGGGTTGGTTGCCTCTTCTCTATTTTTTGTTTCTGATTTTATTTGTTTGGGCCATCTCTCCTTTTTTCTTAATGAGTTTGGCTAAAGGTTTAACAATTTTGTTAACCTTTTCATGGAACTAGCTCTTGCTTTCATTGATCTTTTCTATTTTTTTAGACTCTATTTCTTTTACTTTTGATCTGATCCTTATTTCCTTCCTGCTACTTACTGTGGGCTTTGTTTTTCTTTTTCTAGTTCTTTTAGGTGTAGGGTTAGATTGTTTGAGGTTTTTTTTTTTTTGTGGTAGGCCTGTATTGCTACGAATTTCCCTTTTAGAACTGCTTTGGCTGTGTCTCACAGATTTGGGGTCATCATTGTGTTTTTATTTTCATTTATCTCAAGATATCTTTTGCTTTCTTCCTTGATTTCATTTTTCATCTGTTCATTGTTTAGTAGCATGTTATTTAGCTTCCACATGTTTGTGTTATTCAGTTTTCTTCTTGTAATTGATTTCTAGTTTTATACCATTGTGATTGGAGAAGATGCTTAATATGATTTCAGCCTTCTTAAATTTATTGAGACTTGTTTTCTGGCCTAGCATGTATGGTCTATCCTGGAAAATGTTCCATTTTTACTTGAAAAGAATGTATATTCTGCTTTGGGTTAAAATGTTCTAAAAATACAAATTAAGACTATCTGGTCTAATGAGTCATTTAAAGCCAACCTTACTTGTTGATATTCTGTTAGGATGATCTATCCACTGATGTCAATAGGATGTTAAAGTCCCCTACTATAACTATTGCTGTCGATCTCTCCCTTTACTTCTCTTAATATTTGCCTTATATATTTAGGTGTTCCTTTGTTGGGTGCATAGATGTTTACAAGAGTTATATCCTCTTATTAGATTGATCTTTTTATCATTTTGAAATGCCCATCTATGTTTCTTATTATAGCGCTTGTGTTAGTATATTTTGTTTGTTTACATTCATATGAAGTATCTCTTTGCATCCCATTACTGTGTGTGTCTTTCAATCTGAAGTGGGTCTCTTGTAGGCAGCATATATATATGTCTTGTTTTTTTCCTATTCAGCCACCTTGTCTCTTTGAGTTGAGCATTTAGTATATTTACATTTAAAGTAATTATCAATGGGTATGTAGTTATTGCCATTTTATTAATTGTTTTCTTATCATTTTGTAGTTCTCTGTTCCTTTTTTCTCTCATTCTCTTGTATGTCGATGATTTTCTATAGTGTTGTGTTTGGATTTCTTTTTCTTTATTTCTTCTATATCTTTGGTAGATATTTGGTTTGTGGTTACTATGTGGTTCCGTGTGTGTGTGTGTGTGTGTGTGTGTGTGTGATATATATATATATATATTTACACCAAACTACATTTATAGCCATCTGTTTTAGGTTGATGGTCTCTTACTTTTGAACACATTCTAAAGTCACCACACTATTAACTCACCCCCTCCACATTTATGTTTTTGTCATTTTGTCATTTATTTTTACTCCTTTTGTTTGCATCTGTTTGTATTCCTTAATTTATGGTTGTAGTTACACATGATCTTTTATTTTTTAACCTTCGCACTAGCTTTACAGTTGGTCGATCCACTGCTTTTATTAAGTGTTTGCTTTTATTCAGTGAGAATTTTTTCTTTCCTATATTTTCTCATTCATATTTTTTTCCTTATTTACTTAAAGAAGTCCCTTTAATATTTCTTGTAATACTGCTTTAGTGGAGATAACTCCTTTAGCTTTTTGTCTGGGAAACTTAACATCTTCTTTTCTAAATGATAGCCTCGCTTGGTAATCTTGGTTGTAAGTCTTTGTTTTTCATCATTTTGAATAATCCTTTCTAGCCTGCAAAGTTTCTGTTGAGACATCAGATGACAGTCTTTTGCGAGCTCCCTTGTAGTTAACTAACTGCCTTCCTTTTGGTGCTTTTAAGAATCTCTTGGCCTTTTGAGCCACTCTTCTCTTGCTCAGGCCTACTTCTACGTCTGGAAGTGTACTTTCCTTTCTAATAAAGCTTTTACTTTCTGCTGTAAAAAAGAAAAAAGATTCTCTTTGTCTTCAGCCTTTGGCATTTTAATTATGATGTGTATTGGTGTGGGTCTCTTTGGGTTCAACTTGTTTTGAGACTCTCCAGGCTTTCTGGATTTGTCTGTTTCCTTCGCGAAGTTAAGGAAGTTATCAGTCATTATTTCTTCAAATAGGTTTTCAATCCCTTCTTTTCTTTCTTCTATTTCTGGTATCCCTATGATGTGAATGTTGTTATGCTTAATGTTGTCTTAGAGGTCTCTTAACTATCCTATTTTTTCGTTATTATTTTTTCTTTTTGATGTTCTGATTGGATGTTTTCTGCTACCTTGCCTGCCAGATCATTGATTTGATTCTATGCTTCATCTAATCTGCTGTTGATTCCCTTTAATGTATTGTTCATTTCATTTATTGTATTTTTCATTTCTGACTGGTTCTTTTTTTTTTTCCATCTCTTTGTTGAAGTTCCCACTATGCTCACCTATTCTTCTCCTAAGTAATGGTATCATATAGAGTGGTTTTACTGCCCTAAAAATCCTCTATTTCACTTATTCTTTCTTCCCTTCCTCTGTCAACCCCTAGCAACCACTAATATTTTTACTGTCTACATATTTATGCCTTTCCAAGAATGTCATATAGTTGGAATCATACAATATATAGCTTTTAATATTGGCTTCTTTCACTTGATAATGTCTTTTCATGGCTCCATAGTGTTTTTCTTTTTAATGCTGAATATTTCATTGTCTAGATATACCATAGTTTACTTAACCATTCACTGAGGGACATTTTGTTTTTTCCAAGTTTTGGCAATTATAAAAGTTGCTATAAACATCTATACACAGATTTTTATGTGACGTAATTTCTCAACTCCTTTGGGTAAATACCAAGGAGCACAATCACTGGATCATATGGTAAGAGTATATTTAGTTTTTATAAGAAGCCTCCAAACTGTATTCCAAGGTGGCTGTACCATTTTGCATTCCCACTAGCAATAATTGAGAGTTCCTGTTGCTATTTGCCAGCATATAGTGTTGTTGGTGTTCTGGATTTTGACCATTCAAATAGGTATGTGGTGGAGGGATATTTTATTAAGACATTAAAACATTAAAACATTTTTAATTATAATTAGAGAGTGTGATACTGTCAAAAGAATAAACAGATCACTGAACCAAAATAGAACTACAAATAATTCCAAGCATGTATCATTTATGATGAGTAGCACTTAAATGAGTAGGCAAAATATATTCTATAGTCACTTGTTCTAAGGCTCACTTTTTTTTTCTCATTTCAACATATCTGAAGTCAAGTTATATCTTACATAGGTTCTTTCTTAAGTGGCATGTAAAATAATGGTGTATTTTAAGTTCTTTCTTAAGTGGCATGTAAAATAATGGTGTATTGTATATTATTCACATGTGACTTTGGTACATCTTAGAGTAGCTCCCTCTGGAGGAAAAATTAAGTAGTATTTATAACTCATTTCTTTCACAAAAATAAAATTATAATTGATACTCATCATAGTCTTTCATAAGTAATCTTATACCAAAACAAAATAATAATTGGCTAACTATGTGTAACAAAAGTAAGCATTAAAAAGAGTTTATACAAATATGTATAAGTAAGAAAGATCTTACTCAAAAGCTAGAAAAGTTGACATTTTGACTCTTTTTCATGGCAAAAACACATAAGCAAAGTTAAAAATTTTTTTTTACAAAATAAAAGCAAGGGAGCAAGAATGAGGATGCTTCTGTGTGAGTGAGTATGGGTGTCTGATGGGGGAAGTTGATTGACTTTCTTGGACTTGGGAAGTGAAAAGACTTAAGGAAGCCTTTAGTTGTGATCAGAGGGTACTGTGTTGTGATCAGAGGGTACCATTTGGGTAAATCTGGCTTGGGGTCTTAAGGACTGCAAAGGAGGGATCTGCTTAGGGCAAATCATAGCAGCTATGTTTTGGGTTCAGAGCAACAACATCACTGAGATGGAGCAAGGTCTCGCCTGAATCACTTGGCTGAGGCAAGAACTTGGGTTGCTTGGGTGAAGGTAGGGAAATCTGAGTCTGTGTTCCTTTGAATCCACTAGCCAGGGTCTATCTTGCTGCAGCTAAAGTCTAGGGTTTCTGGGATTGAGGAAGGAGTAAGATTTATTCTATACTTCTACTAACTAGAGTTACATCATAATACCGAGAGAAGTGGAGGTAGTTTTACCTTGTCAGTCTGAGAGCTGTAATACCCATGTGGTTTCTAGAGCATTCCTTTGGTTTCCCAGGCCTGTCTTCTCAGAACACTATCCTTTTTCAGGAGAACAGCCCTGAGGAGGACTAATAATCTGCAATGCTGAAAGTCATGGCCCAGGTGAGTTGATTTTTTTCCTTACCTTCCTGACATTGTTCTTTTTAAGAATTAAAAAAAAAATTTTTTTAAGGAACATGTGAACATTTGCTTTCCTTTCTGGCTTTCTGGCTATCATTGCCCCCTTCAGGATCCTTTTCCCATTTCTTTTTCTAGCCAGATAGTCCTATATCATTCCTAAGTTCCCCTCTTCTTTTGACTCAGGATTAATATTTTCATTCAGTAAATAATTGAGTATCCCTTTTTTCAGACCTCTGCCAGGGACTATGAGGGAGAGGAAATGCATTCTCTGAAAAGGAAACAAGAGTAGATTTGTAGAATGAACTCGTCCTCTCTGGACAGTAATTTGTTTCAGATGAAGATACAAGTTGATTAGCTGGGAACAAACATGGAAAAGCCAAGAGTATTGCTATAGATCACTATTCTCCAGTAAGATAAGGTGAGAGATGGTAGATTATTGTAAGATCTCCTAGCTTATGAGGCTTGGAGGATTGTGGGTTTGATAGCTGATACAGACAGATCTCCGCAAATCTGTGTAGGGTATTCAGGAGAGGAGTCCATTATGAGGTTGAACAGGAAGTGTGGGTCATGAGGAATTTGGACATGAATCACCAGTTTTCTTTATTTCAGAAATAAAGATGGAAATGATGGATGATTACAGTGAGTTCAGCCATTTCATACTGTCAGAGCTCAGAAGAACCTTCTAAATCTTGTCCAGTAATTCTATATTGTAGAAAATTCTGGCATCAGGAAATCAATTATTAAAGAATTTGTAATAATAGGAAGTTATTCTTATAACAATAAGTCAAAAGAGTGAACTAGAGGTTATGAGAAACTTAGATCACATGCTGTTTCAGAAATATTACTCTTAAAATGTATTTGTCAAAATTTTACATGTTAAAAATTCAAGGAGTATTAAGAGTAGGGCCCTGATCCACCACGTCATCCTACTCCCATAAAGGCAGACACCCTCATCTCTTTTAGCAACTTACAGTGGAATTCATCTATATTTTAAGTTAATATTCCTATATTGATATTTCTTGATTAATCAATTTTTTAAAATTTAATTTTTATTTTTATTATGGTGACATTGGTTAACGAAATACAGTAAGTTTCAGGCATACAATTCAACAGTAGGGCAATTATATACATTGCATTGTGTGTTCACCCATAGTTAGATTTCTTTCTGTCACCATATATATGGCCTCTTTTACCCCATCTTCCTCCTCCCTTCCTCCTCTCCACCTACCCTCTGACAACCACTAGTCTGTTGTTCATGTCCATGAGTCTCTGCTTGTTTGTCCTGTTTGTTTGTTGCTTTTAGATTTCTATCCCACATATAAATGATACCATGTAGTTTTCAACTTTTTCTGTCTGGCTTATTTCGTTTAGCATGATTATCTCGAGGTCCATCCATGTTGTCACAAATAGCAGTATTTCACCTCTTCTTAAGGCTGAGTAATATTCCATTGTATATGTGTATGATTGTTGGAAGCCAGCCGACCCAGTCAAACCGGGTACCTGAATGGGGAAGCGGGGACTGAGAAAAAAGAGAAGACAGACAGGGTGCAGGAGGGAGAACAGAACTCAAAACTGTCTCTCCGAGTTTATTTCTTATGCTTCTTTTTATACATAATCAGTTCCTTTGTGTATCCCAAGATAACATAATAAAAGTAACATCCTGAAGATGGAGGTACAATCAACACTTCCTTTGACACTCCCTTTGACACTCCCTTCGACACTCCCTTTGTCTATACTTAATCTTCTTCTTCCTGGAATTCCACAGAACCAGCCTTTTCTTTTTTATGCAAGCAGGCCTCCCGAGATAATCCATGCACTCTTTTGAATTTGGGGAGCTTTAGCTCCCTACATATGATTAATCAATTTTTAAATGTTATTTCTTTGTAAGATATGTGTGAATTTAGGTTCGCTATTTCACACTCTCTGCTTGAGCTATAACACAATTTTGTTTAAATTACATGATTAGGACCTCCACAATATTATATTGCAATTATTCTCTACCTTCCCACTTTTAAAAACTTCATTATAATAAATTCCAGGCACAGAGAAGTAGTCTTATTAACTACAATATACTCACCATTCAGCTTCAATAATTATCAACTCAGATTCATCTTATTTCATTTATATACCTACCTGTTTCTTCTGTGCACTCCCCAACCCTCATTCCCACTCAGTTATTTTGAAACAAATACAAATTACTATGTATCGCTAAAAGATAAGGATTATGCCATATTACATCTAAAAAAGTTAAAAATAATTTGTTAATATCAATATCTAGTATTTGGATTTCCATAATTCTCTAGTTTTTAAATAATTTATTTGAATTAGAATCCGAATAAGGACTGTGCACAGCAATTGATTGATATGTTTCTCAGATCTCTTATTCGTAGGTACCCCATCCATCTCTTTTCTTCCTGTGCAGTTTGTTGTTAGAAAGAAAAAGAAAATCAGATTCATTTGTTCACTGTTTGGATTTATTGATTGCATCTCTGTGATATCATTTAAGTGTTTCCTGAAAATTGGTGGTTAGGTCTAGAAGCTTGATCTGATTCAGCTGGGTGTGTGTGTGTGTGTGTGTGTGTGTGTCGAATATTTCATAAATGGCGATGTGCGATATCATTAGGATGCACATTATATCTGGTTCTCTTTGTAAGCAGTTGAATTTCTGCTCCCTATTCCCTCGCCACCATTGACAATTATCTAGATTCATTAATTCATTAAAGTTGCAAAATGATATTTTAATTCTATCATTCCTCTTTAGGTGGAATACTATCTGTAATGTAAAAATTCTCAACTATTTGATCATACCGAAGACTGTTTGTATAGGAAAGAATGTTTGATTCTTTCTCTTTTTATACCAGTTTTTTAAATAATGAGTTGGTTTCTTAAAATTCTACAAAAGTGACCAGTAGTTTTTTATACAGTATTGTTGATGGCCTTATGGATTTAAACATTTTTGATCTGATCAATCCATTACATTTGATCCTCTAAATTATACCATTTTTGGCCAGTGGGAGGCTCTTTAGCTTGGTTCTTAGTCCTTTTACCCTGATTCCAGTTCTCTGATAGTGCTCTTGTTTTCTGTTATAACAGAATGTTAAAAATTCATCTTTTGAATTTCTTATCAATCTTGAAATCATCTCTTTTCCCAAAGAATCTTAGTTTCTTTTATTTGAATATGGTACTTAGAGACTACACTCTAGAATGCTTATTCCTACTGTCTAGACCTTTATAATTGACCAAGTCGGGAATTTGTTTTTAATATAAAGTAAACTGATTATTTTTTATCTATTTCTGAGATTCATAGATTCTGGTTCTCATTGATACCAGTGTAATTGCTTGTTTACTTTACCCCACAATAAAAGCATAATAGTCTCTGAAATATTTCTTTTACTATACAAGTGTATGTATGTTTATTGTTTCAGGAATCAGTTATGTTCAGGGATGTGGCTGTAGACTTCTCCCAGGAGGAGTGGGAATGCCTGGACCCAGCTCAGAGGGATTTATACAGAGAGGTGATGTTGGAGAACTACAGCAATCTGGTGTCAATGGGTAAGGTCATCTGTACCAGTAATTTAGAGTTCTCTGGAATGTCTGTTTCTTCCACGGTGAATTTCTCAGCTGCTTTTTGAGTTACCAGCTGAATTTCTGCTTCTTATTCTCAAATCAAAGATTGGAGCTGAAATGAAAAGGAAGCGTGGGAAATGGGCAGCTCTAATTGGCTATAGCTGAAGCTTCTCCTTTCTTTGGCTCTTCCTGTAGTGGCATCTCTTCCTTGATCATCAAGGATCTGGGTCTTATTTCTAGATCTGATTTATTCACAGCATAATCATATTTCATATCTTTTCTTGTGAGCAGGACTTTACATTCCCAAGCCTCAAGTTATATCTTTATTGGAACAAGGGCAAGAGCCCTGGATGGTTGGCAGAGAGCTGACAAGAGGCCTGTGTTCAGGTGAGTGACAAAGCAGGCCATTGCAGGTAATAATTCAGCTGATCAGTGAAGAAACAATATCGTTGAGGTCTTGCCTTGGAAACTCCCATCAAAACCCTAAGCGTGTGGGAAAGTCCTGTTAGCATGAGTTTACAAATTACTTGTTACATTCCTTCCCTCACTACTCTTTCTATTACCCTTCTCCAATATATCGTTAAATTTCAAGTAGAAAGTAACCTTCACTTCCCCTTTAAAGAAAACTTGTACCCATATTTAACTCAGTTCCCTGCTAGTATTTATTCCTCTTACACCCATCTAAATGTTTTCTACTACCACTACCAAAACAGTATACATGTGAGTGTATGCATGCGTGCATGTGTGTATCTGCACCTCTCCTTCTCTCCAAGTAATGGCCTTTGTTATAGCCACTGGCTAGTGACTTTTTTATTAATTGGTTGTACGTTTTTCCTTTATCCAACATTCTTGATTTCCTAATTTCCTAATGTGCAAGGGAGTCTGCCAGTTGCTGTAGTTTGCTAATGATAGCAGCTATTAAGAACTTGGAGTCAAAAAATGGTACTAAAATATAGCCATAAATAACATCTATAAAGTAGAATCTAGTAAAAGAACCAGCCAGGGAGCTTAGCAGAAAGGGCTAAATATGCAGAAGTGGAATTAATCCATACTGAAATTCCATACTGAAATAGTAGATGGAGCCTTGAAAGTAATTGAAGTCACCGTCTATAAAGACAATGTTGGGAAAAACAGAAAAGTCTGTGCCCACATTATGGGAGGAGGTGGCAGAGAAGAGATTTGAGATAGAGGAAGAGAACCAGAAGAGTACTTATTGAGCATAAGTATGTACTAAGCATTGATCCAAGTGCTGGGATGATAGTATTAAAACATTCAGAGCTCTGCTCTTCTGAAGCTTATATTCTAGAAGGTGATAGAGAAGGAATAAATATGTATAATGTCAGATGCTGATAAGTGCTATGAGGGAGACAAGAGAGGCCTCTCTGATGAGGTGATATTTTAATCAAGACCTGAAGGAAGTGAGGGAACAAGTAATGTTAATATTTGTTAAAAGAGATTCAGGCAAAAGGAACAGGAAGAACAAAGTCCTTGAGTTAGGAGCTTTTTGGCTCATACCATTGTGGCTGGAGCAGAATGAGCAAAGAGCAAATTATGTGAAAGGAGATCAGCAAAGTAGTGCATATATGTTTGTGTTAGGTACAGATGAGTGAGAGGGTGTACCTGCAGATAGTTCTGGATTTTGTGAGCCTAGGTATGGGATTTGAATTCTATTCTGAATAATGTAGGTGTAAAGCCATTTTATTCAGAATGAGATGATTTGAGCAGAGGAGTGACATCATGTTTTTAAAGGATCACTCTGACTCAGAGGTTGCTAATTTTGGATTCCTTTAGTTAGAATTTAGAGGCTCTATGAACTTGGATGAGAAGAAAAAAATGCATCTTTATATTTAGTAACCTCTGATTAAAATTTAGTTTTTCTTCCAATTATGATGTATAAAACAAACCATAGTATTATTAGTTCTGTGACTTTGATATAAATGGAAATCAAAATATTGAAATGCCATTTTTGCTTATCACTATTTCATAATTACTGTAGTACTAGGCTTACTGTTAGGTCTTACTATTTAACACGTTAATAAACGAGAAAACTTCAGGCAGAGGGAAGAACCCCTGCAAAGGCACTTCTAGGAGGGAAAATCTTGGTAAGTTTGAAGAATTGAAAGAAAGCCAGTGTTGTTGCACCCCATGAGCAAGGGAGAGTGGAATGAGTTGAGATTGCAGAGACAGGTAGGAACCACATTATTCAGCCTTTCCTGGTGATTATGAGAAGTATGCACTTTGATTAGTGGGAGGCCAGGTCAGGTGTCATTGGTCCCAGAGTAGATTAAAGAGTGTAAAACTTGGTGGGGAGACTGAGATAGGAGGCTACTTCAGTGGTCTAAGAGATGATTCTTGTTTGGAAGAGGGCATTGACAATGAAGATAGAAGAGGACAGTTTTAAAAGTTAGGAGCTTAACCAGATGAAAATTGCTGAAAGACCACATAAAGGTAGGAGAAAAAAGATTATGCTGGAATGAATTCCTTGTTTCTGGTTGGAGATGTTCTAATAGGCTTCATTTTGATGTCTTCAAATCATTTAGTTTGCTTAAAATCTCTAACTTTGGTAAGAAATTCTTTCATAATAATACCTATCAAATACTGAACGCTTTATTCAAAGATAATTACATACATTTTTCCTCACCTTTCCAATATTCATGAATTAAGGTTTATCTCCCTTTTACAGATAAAGAAATGGGGATTTAGAAAAGTTAAGTAATTGCCTAGGAACATAGTAGTAACTATCAGAGTTGGGACTCAGCTCATCAGTCTCCTTCTGGTTCCTGTTACCTTTCTATTGCAGTATTTTGCACTGTCTTATTTTCTTTCTGTCTTCCTTAAACTCTAGCTGCCACCCCTCTCAGTCATTGCACTAGTACATGAGCAAGTCTCTCCTTCTAAGATCAGCATCACAGAATTCCAAGGTGAATAATATTTTCACTAAATCCCCAGCACATAACATATTCTGAGTCTTCCCTATCTGCCACTCACATCAAATTAGTTAAATACCTTAGACTTATCTCAGGCTATTCCCACATGTGGCTTACCCTCTGTAATCTCTTTCAAATTTCATCCAATATATCCTTTATTATGGAACCTATTCTGTTTCCACCCCAACTGGGTGTGCTGCTGTTTAATTCTGATATGAATTACCCAGAATTATTAGTATAGATCCTGCAGGTTAACAGCAAAGTCCTGTAAGACTGCTATCACTTCAGATGCCAGCTGCAAGTCTCAGGGGTTCCTCAGACCCCCCATACTTCTAAGCAACTGGCTATAAAGTTGGGGATTTCTATGATCCTTGCAGGTTCAGTAATTTGCTGGAAGGACTCACAGAACTCAGGAAAGCTCTATATTTACAATTGCAGTTTTACTATAAAGAGTACATATTAGTTAGGACAAGGTCTGATAGGCTTCCAGATATAGAGGTTCCATACCCTCTCCCTGTACTTTTTGAGCATAAGCATGTACTAAGCATTGATCCAAGTGCTGGGATGATAGTATTAAAACATTCAAATGTGTCACCCTCTTGGCATCAGTGTGATCACCAACTGGAAAGCTCCACTGAGCTTTGGTGTCTAGTTTTTATTGTGGTTTAATTACACTGTCATGATTGATTAAGTCATTGGCCACTCAATCTCTGGTGCCTCTCCCTTCCTCAGAGATCAAGTAGCTGAAAGTTCTTAATCCTTTAATCATATGCTTGGTCTTTCTGGTAACCAGTTCCCCTCTCAAAGCTATCTAGAGACCCACCATGGGTAAACTTATTAGCATAATGAAAACACTCCTATCACTTGGGAAATTCTAAGAGTTTTTGAAGCTCTGTGCTAGAACCAGGTAAAAAGACCAAATTTATTTTTTATTATATCACAGACCAAGAATCTTCCCCTATATGGAATTATTCCTCCTATGTGGGTTTAAATGGGGTCAGAAAATTATTCACTTTTTGTAATACAGTATGATCATACACTCTCTTACATAAACATTCATGCATGCTTATATAGATGTAAAGCATCTATATAAACGGAAAGCAAGTTTCTGAAGCTGGTGGCCAACTTTGCTGCCTTTGCTGTTAACCTGAGGTGCCCCGAAGGCAGAGTCCAGCGGCCTCGGCCAGCCCCTCTCGGCAGATGCTTCATGCCGGGACAGACTGAAATGTCTTGTGGATGTGGTCTCTCCCTGATGTTTCTGCAGTTGCCGGGCGCGGCAGAGGTCGCGGCCTGGTCTTTGCCTATGTGAGTGAGTGTGTGTGTCTCCCCAGAATCTACCTTTGCCCACTGCTCCTGCTCCTCCCCAACCCTTCACCACTTTTTTCACTGTTCAACCATTGTATATTTACCAGTCTTTCCAGATGATTCTGAACCTCATCAATATTTGAGAATGATTGTGGTTTCCTATTTCTGTTGTCTCTTCCACTTCTTGTGTTATACAGTCATGCACTGTTTAACAACAGGGATAAATTGTTCTGAATAATGCGTCGTTAGGTGAGTTCATCATTGTGCAAATATCATTGTGTGTACTTACACAAACTCAGATGGCATAGCCTACTACTGTAATTGTATGTGCTATACTTTATACAACTGGCAGCTCAGTGGATTCGTTTACACCAGCATCACCACAAACATGTGAGTAATGCATTACAATACAACTTTAGGACAGCTAGGACGTCACAAGACAAAAATAATTTTTCAGTTCCATTATAATCTTGTGGGACCACCATTGCATATGTAGTCTGTAATCAACTGAAGCATCACCGTGGAGCATGTGGCAGTATCTCATTAATTTCTATGCATTTTTTGTCCATTTTTCAGATTAAACAGATATACTTGAGAACTGTATGTCATTTGCTACCATATATTTACTTAATTTTTCCATTTCTATTATAAAAGTTTAACTTTTTACAAGTGAAGGGGGAGAATATTTACCATTTTATTTTCTTTCAGATCTGGAGTCAATGTGTGAAACCAAGTTATTATCTCTAAAGAAGGAAGTTTATGAGATAGAATCATGCCAGAGGGAGGTAATGGGACTTACAATGTATGGCCTGGAGTACTCCAATTTCAGAGATGTTTTGGAATACAGAAGCCACTTTGAAAGACAACTGGGATATCAAAATGAGCATTTCAGCCAAGAAATATTCACTCATGGATACATGCCCACATTTATTCAACAGACATTCTTTACTCTACATCAAATAATTAGTAATGAAGATAAACCCTATGAATGTAAGAAATGTGGAAAAGTCTTTAGTCAGAATTCACAATTTATTCAACATCAAAGAATTCATATTGGTGAAAAATCTTATGAATGTAAGGAGTGTGGGAAATTCTTTAGTTGTGGCTCACATGTTACTCGGCATCTGAAAATTCATACTGGTGAAAAACCCTTTGAATGTAATGAATGTGGAAAGGCCTTCAGTTGTAGTTCATACCTTTCTCAACATCAGAGAATTCATACTGGTAAGAAACCCTATGAATGTAAAGAATGTGGGAAGGCTTTTAGTTATTGTTCAAATCTTATTGACCATCAGAGAATTCACACTGGTGAAAAACCTTATGAATGTAAAGTATGTGGGAAAGCCTTTACTAAGAGCTCACAACTTTTTCAACATGCAAGAATTCATACAGGTGAGAAACCCTATGAATGTAAGGAATGTGGCAAAGCTTTTACTCAGAGCTCAAAGCTTGTTCAGCATCACAGAATTCATACTGGTGAGAAACCCTATGAGTGCAAGGAATGTGGGAAAGCCTTTAGTAGTGGTTCAGCTCTTACTAATCATCAGAGAATTCACACTGGGGAGAAACCATATGATTGTAAGGAATGTGGGAAGGCTTTTACTCAAAGCTCACAACTTCGTCAACATCAGAGAATTCATGCTGGTGAGAAACCCTTTGAATGTCTTGAATGTGGGAAAGCCTTTACTCAGAACTCACAACTTTTTCAACATCAGAGAATTCATACAGATGAAAAGCCATATGAATGTAATGAATGTGGAAAGGCCTTTAATAAATGTTCAAACCTTACTCGACACCTGAGAATTCATACCGGTGAAAAGCCCTATAACTGTAAAGAATGTGGAAAGGCATTTAGTAGTGGCTCAGATCTCATTCGTCATCAGGGAGTTCATACTGATGAATAATAAAAGTTAAGGCTCTTGTAACCTTCCTAATACTTTAAACAAAAAAAATCATGTTTGATAATTACTCTCTCTTTATTTTACATATATTTTTAATCTAAATGTATTTTCCTATTATGAATTCATATTCTAAATTGACATTCTCCCCACCCTGCCCCCCCAATATTGTATTAATGGCAGTCGTTCAGTAATTCTTTCTTTCTCCATTATTTTGTTCTACTTTTGAGGTGAAAACATATTTTTGTTTATATTTGCTTGTATTTCAGGGCTACTTTTCTTCTCTGATCTATATATTTGTGCTTAAGCCAATGTCACACTTTAAATTGTGTGACTTTGTATTTTTTTAATTCCTTGTAGAATTATAACTTTGTTTTTGAAGTCAGTGTTCTTTTTTTCACAAATATATATTTTCTTATTATAAAACAAAGTCAGAAACTGAAAAGCCAATATTAATTGTAATCATACCAACTATAGATGACTACTCTCAATTTGGTAGAATAAATCCTACCAGACTCTATCTTTAAAGAAAGTATAGTCATGGTATGCATATTGTACCTTCACTTGCTTTTACCATGCCAAAAATGATTGCCATCTCATTAAATATAGATTTTTGTTTTTTTAAAATGACATACTTAATAACTTTTTTAAATGATTTTATTATTCATGTTATGGCTACATCTAAATGTTTTGCAGTTATAAAATATGCCCTGATTAATACGACCCAAAATGTATCTTTGGATGCTTGTTTTTTCTTTTAAAACATGTATTTTAATTGCTGAAATTATTCACTTTTTCTCCTTGTAAACTGTTTTGTTCCTTTTCAACAACCCTAACCCCAATTTCGTACTAGAAAGGTAATTAACCATTGTTATCAAAGTGTTGTTTATCCGTCCAGATATTTTTACTTTTTACTTATAGATGTTAGTGGCATTTTATTTCATATATATTAGTAAATATAATTATGCTCTATGTATTGGTTTGTTGTGACAATTCAATGAATGAATGAATTTAAAGTATTAGAACTATTCCTATCACATAATAAATACTTAGTAAAAATTGTTTACTATTATCGTTGATATACCCATTTTTGTAGTTATTTTCATTATTATTTGTAGAAAAGATTCTAATCATGTTTACCTTTGTCTAAATCAAAGAATTCATAATGAGAAAAATGCATGTAATGAGTTTAGGAAAGCGTTTCCCATCACTCATTGTTCAGCATGGAATTTTAAAAGGAAGAGAAAAAGTATGTGTGGGTAGTCTTCATTCAGACTTCATCTTTTATGCTGCATGAAGATTAATACCAGTCTGAAACCCTGTGGATGTAACAATGGGTACTTGAAAGCAGCACAGCTGTCAAAAAGTAGTTCCCCTCCCCCGCAAAGCAAAAAAATTTACAGGCCAAATTATTTGACCAGAATGACAATAAGTAGCCATCAAATTTCTGAATATTAATTCAGCGTCCCCTCTTGATCGACATGGGTTAAAGAACTAAATCTTTAATATACACCTTGGTTAAATGTGAATAAAATAGAATCGAAAAACCTGAGAGTGGCAGGCAAAGTCCTCTTGGAAGTTTTATAACCCAATTTGTGTGCATATATTAAAATACTATAAAGGTCATTAATAAAATCAATATAGAACCCAAGCAGCTAAAACAAGTGAAAAATCTAAGACATGAGTAGAAAAAGGCATTATTAGTTATAAAATGCAGAAATAAGTGAAAGAAGTAAATCTAAAACAAATTTTGACCAAAAAAAGATAAACTTGAGATTAGGGTGGAGAAGTACGGATAACAGCACTGTGGATGAGATTAAAATGGCAACATATTTAAATTTAAAAAGACTATATCATTTTTGGTGATGAAAATGTTCTGGGGTTAGTAGTGTAGGTTGTATAACTTTGTGACTATAATAAAACTACTGAGGAGTATACTTTAAAAGGGTGACTATAATGGCACATGAATTTTATCTCAAAAAATAATATAATTTTTTAAAAATAATATAACTGAAAATGTGGACAAAGTATGATTATAAAGAAATTGAATTGACATTTGCAAATCTTAATGGACTTCCCTCAAAAATGAATGTTTGGAGATTGGATTAAACATGGTGGAATGAGAGATGTCCCCAGATCACTCCCCTTGAAAAAACAATAAGCCAAACATCTAAAACTCAACAAAAAACACCCAAACTGCACACCAGCATGTCTGAGCGTGAGATCTGCGCATAAGAACTACCACAGGTCAGAACCCCGGGTGTTGGGTGGTGGACTGGGAGAAACAAAGAAGGTGCCCTTTGTAGCCAGAGCTCTCTGTAGGAGGAAGGGGAGGGAAGAAGGCGCAGCGACGTCCCTGAACTGCCATGCCTGGCAGTGCTGTGAGCTACATGCAGCCAGCGGCAGTGCTCAGTCAATAGGGCAGAAGGCAGAGAAACTGGGACAGCAGAAAAGCGGAGACGGTTGCAAAACAGGCTGAACCACAGCCCCCTTCCTCAACAGTTAGGCCCTTCCCCCATACCTCTGAGACTGAATGCTGTGGAACCCCAGGGGAATCTGAGCAAACACTATCGAAACTCACACTGACAGGAACTGAGACTGAGGGTAGCGAGCGTGATTAAACATCTGTAGGGAGCAAAAAGACATTAATAAGACTTTATATAAAGCAGGGATCCAAGAGGCTTACACAACACCTACTGGAAACCAAAAGAAATACACCTTTGCAACATGCTAGGAACCATTATATAATAAATCTTTCCGGAAAAAAAAAGCAGAACACACTTTCATTAATGCCCAGGAGGAGAAATAGTCAATAAAACACCATGAACAACCAAGGTGACAAGGCATCTCAGAAAGGAAGAGAAAAATCTCCAGAAAATAAGCTTACAGACATAGAAATATGCAACTTGAATGACAATTCAGGATGGTACTTCTGGAAAACTCAATGAAATACAAAACAAATCATATCAACAATTTCAGGAATTGAAAAAAAACTAGATAAGCAGAATGAGTTCTTTAGCAAGGAGATCGAAACCCTCAAAAAGAACTGAACAGACCTTCTGGAGATAAAGAACACACTGCAAGAGTTGAAAAATGAAATAACAGGCTTGGTAAATAGAGTCAACCAAATGGAGGAAAGGGTCAGTGGTATCGAAGACAGAAATATAGAAATAAATCGGAAGAAGAGAAACCGAAGAATGAAAAATAATAGAAGAGAAAAGAAATACAAGAACTAGTTGAGTCTACAGCCATGCTACCCCGAATAAGCTCAATCCCATCTGATCTCGGAAGCGAAGCACAGTCGGGCATGGTTAGTAATTGGATGGGAGACCACCTAGGAAGACCAGGTGCTGTAGGCATAAAAAATGAAAAAATAAATGATTGTAAACTGACAAGGTTCTTGCAATCTGTGAGGTCAACCAAGGGTTGCCTCACTTAAAAAACAAAAACAAAAACAAAAACAAAACAAAACAAAACAAAAATGGCTGATACCATCAGGAGAGGAATCATAAGAATAATGGGAATTCTCAAAGGGGAGAAAAGGAAAAGGGATTACAAAGCATTTTCAGACAAATAGTTTACGAGAAGTTTCCAAATCTAAGGAATGAGCTGGATCTTGGAATTCAAGAAGTCAACAGAACACCCAATTATCTCAACCCAAAAAGGACTTCACCAAGACACATTATATTAAAATTATCAAAAATCAACGAAAAAGACAGAATTCTGAGGGCAGCCAGGGAAAAGAAGACGGTAACCTATAAAGGAAAACCCATTAGATTATCATCAGACTTCTCAGGAAAAACCTTAAAATCCAGAAAGGATTGGAATCAAATATTCAAACTATTAAATGAAAGAAACTACCAGCCTAGAATAATGTATACAGCTAAACTCTCCCTTAGATATGAAGGAGAAATAAAAACCTTTCCAAACATACAAAAATTGAGGGAATTCTCCACTCCAAGGCCTGCATACAGGAAATACTGAAAGGGGTCAGCTCAACTAAAATAAAAAATGACAAAAACAAAAACAAAAACAAACCATAATTAGGAGTAAGGTGAATAGTAGGCTGATAAAAAAGCAGAGGATTGCAACCCTTACTAGGAACAGGTCATTATAAGCTTAAAATAAGAGATTTGCTATAGCAAGAGAGTAATGAATGTTCAGCATACATAAGGAAAAACCAAGAAAACGACTGAAAAGGGGAGGATACAAAGATCCAAATTCGCAAACAGGAATGGAGATAAGGCACACTCAGAAGAAAAGGGATGACTGTATGTATATATGTATGTATGTGTGTATATATATATATACACACATACATACATATATATATAACTATCCTTTACATATTTGTGATGGTAACCACACACCAAAGATCCAGAACTGAAGTATATAACATAAAACAAGAAGGACCAGAGAGAAAACTCAAAAAAGCCAAGTGAAATGAAGAAAAACACAAGGACAAAGAAGCAATTGAAACACCAAGACACCAGAAAGCAAAAGATAAAATGGCTATAAGACGGCCTCATATTTCAATAATCACTCTAAACTGAACTCACCAATAAAAAGGTACAGAGTGGCAGATTAGAGCAAAAAACAAAATCCAACTATATGCTGCCTCCAGGAGACACATCTCAGTTCCAAAGACAAATATAGGCTCAAAGTGAAAGGGTAGAAAATGATATTTCAAGCAAATGGCATTTAGAGAAAAACAGGAGTAGCGGTACTAATATTGGATGAAATAGACTTCAAAATAAAAAATGTAAAGAATGATACTGAAAGACACTTCATAATCATATAGGGAATCATGCACCAAGACATAACACATTAATATCGGTGCTCCCAATCAGGGAGCCCCGAAATATGTAAAACAATTACTAACAAAACTAAAGGGAGAAACAGACCAAAACATTTTCATAGTAGGGGACCTAAATACCCCACCATCTGATATGAACAGATCATCCAAACAGAAAATCAATAAGGAAATAACATCCTTAAATGACT